CCTTGCTCATTGTTTCTGCGCTGCGGGAGGGGGGATTTGTTTCTGGTTTATTGGCTAATTACTACCAATCAGTGGTTGGTGTGCGTCCTTCTGTCGCCGCTTGTGCGAAGCCGCTTGCGCCAAGTCTTTGCAGTTTGCGCAAATGTGGTGCTGGCACACAAAATTGCTGGTGTTTTTGGTATCCCAATCTGACCCTCGTCCTAAGCTAAAATGGCTACGGTTAAAGATAGGATTTGATGAGAATATGGATGAATTCACAATTGTTTAATAGTTATGTTATGTGGAGTATTATCCAATGATATACCTGGAGGTATCGATTTTGACCAAATATATTTATCAGGGGTAGGGTTTTAGGTTTCGACACATCCCGACAAATATTTGTCAGCGAAGATATGTATATGCCTTTACAATAGTCACATCGAAAAATATTTGTCATATATTGGTGCCGTTCAGGTATCTAGGCTAGATCCTGGACTAGGAAGCCAGTTTACGTGAAATAAATAAATCCACACACTGTTCAAACAACTAAGAAAGGCAGAGGGATCTGATGAGCCTAGCCGCTTTCGTCCCTACTAATACGGAGAAGGAGCGCACCACCGCGGTTGCCGCATTCAAGCGGATGCTGGAGGAGAGGATGTTAGCATCCCCCTGGACGCCTCCGGCAAACGGTTAGCTGCGACGATGGATCGCTTCGAATTCTATCTTGCCACAAACGACGATAAGAAAGGTAAGCTTGCACGTAATACGGCGACTTCGTACCATAGAAATGTGAAGCTATGGCTATTTGATAAATATTCACACTTACGTATGCCTACTGAATTGATACTGCTCAAGCAAGGCAAGACACTAGACAAATATTGCATGAAAAGAGAAAAAGGTGGCTTGAATAATAAGGCTCCTCCTTGTGCTAAGGAGGATCTACAGTGTCTAATCCGTTATGTATACAGCACGGCACGTGTGCATGGTGACTACCAAGACGCTGTGCTAGCGTGCCTGATGTAGCACTGCTTTGGCCGATCTTCCGACTTGGGATACATTCAAAAGCAGCACGTGTCATTATCAGCGGATGGTACTTTCTACCTTCGAATCCTGCGTGTCAAAACCTCCGAAGAGCAGAAACTCACCTTGATTCCGGACAAGAACGATTTCTTGACGTGTCCCTTGCACACTCTTGCTGGGGTGTTGGCAACGCAAGACGCGCCGTGCGTGGCACTGCTAAATCTGTTGCCCGAGCTGGTTACCCGAAAGTCTATAAACCTCGACGAAGGTGCCCCACTGCACGATGTTCTCGCCGCTGATCCAACGTCCCTCCAGGTTGGCGTGGTGCCAACGTGGACCCCCGCCATATTTGTGGAGACCACATCTGCATCGTGTGTCGCGCCCTGCCACGCTACCGAGACCGCCCCATCATCTACAAACGCATACAGTCAAGAATAAAAAAGACCAAGGCACGTACCAAGCGCGGAAAAGATGGCGTACATGCGTACGTGAACCGGATGTTCAAGGTATAGCTGAACCTGCTGGTGTTATCTCTGCATTGACGTCGCATTCTTTTAGACGCGGCAGAGCCCAGCGTGCAAACGGCGACGACCGACCAGCTTCCCAGTGGATCTTTGACCGCGGTGCGTGGAATATGACGAAGACCAACACAGCCTTCGCTTACATCACCAACGCGGCACGCGAAGACAGGAAGGTGGCTCGTGTCTTGAGTGGATGGGGGGGGGGGGGGGGGGGCGGAGCCGCCGACGATTCTTGATATCGCGGCGCTGGATCACGCAAGTCGGGAGCGAGTTGGGCGTCTGCAGGTGTTTCTGTTCAGTGCCTGTACTGGTCTAAAGCAACAACGGCTCACGTAAGCACCAAGTTCCTCAGTGTCCTCGCTGCGTACCTCATCCGTTACTTTCCGCAGATGAAGGATCTAGCGCCAATGGCCCCAATCATCACGGGCGTTGAAGATAGTTTAGTTGGGGTTGATATTCCGCTCGCGGACATGCTCGCATGGTCGGTGGCTCTGAACCAAAAAGTGGAGGATTATAAGGATCAAGTACTCGACGCCGGTCGCCGCGCTCAAAATGCCACACTTGAGTTCTTAAAGTCGAAAGATACTAAGGTCAAGGGAGCCGGTAGTGTCTTGCGTGCGGGGCGATCTCTACACCAATCGGGGGCTTTTCCAATGGATTATTGGTTCGGTTGATGATATCAACTTCGTACCGCACCATTTCCTGGACGTTCCACGTCGTTGCGTCGTACCGCTCCATCCAAGTCTTCACAAAGTACCTCCAGAAGTCGTTCCACTTGCCTTTGGCGCGAGACTCGTCGATCAAACTCCGCACATAGCGAATTCCCTCCATAATTCAATTGCAACTGTAGTAAATAATGCTCGTTTCAGTACACGTGCGCTTCACGCAGAACGAATACCCTCCGTGCTCCATGGTCTGAGTGAGATGGTCGTCCTCGGCAGCTTGTTTTGGTTTGAGTGGCTAAGGTGGGCTTCTAAAGTTTGATGTAGCATACATAATATTACGCACAATAGGTTTTGAACAGGTTTTAGGACGCAATACATTTCAGTCTGTACGACAGGATTAGATCATTTTTAGGACAAAACTGCGAATTTATGAAAAACACTTTAGGACAAATAGGACAGTTTAGGACATTTGTAGGACGCATTATCCTGCACCTTTCATAAATGTCGAAGTCGATCCAAATTCCGAGCGATCGTCTAAATGGCCACCGGAAAAGTAGCGATTTGTTCCCGAATACGCAAAGCAACTCTCATGCTTTTACTTTCAAGAGCTGCGCGAGTCGCTAAAAGAGAGATTTTCAACCCAATATTGCTGTTCGACTTGGTAATTTGCCACGCATTACGGTTCGATTTGGGGTTATCGCAAAATGCTCTAACACAAAGGGCGCGTGAAAGTATCCCGAAAGAGCACCAAGAGTACGTGAATAGGCTATTTCCATCCTACGGCGGGCCGGATCAACCTGTCTTTGTCGGCGAAAATTCCAAAGATGGAAGGTATAGTCATCTATGGTTGCTGCGGCTGTACTTCGTTTTAATTTGTCTATTTGTTTGCTATCTTTTAGATCTTCTCTGCAATAAAAACGCGCGTGGTCCCAACGCAGAGCCCCTGCAGTCACGTCGATCCCTTTTCTAGAGACAAGCGAATCTCCGTCCTGGGCGCGTTCGACATCGAAGGGATTTTTGGAAGGGGGACAACAGAGGGCACTTTACGTTCCACAAAACTTTCAAGTTGAAAATTTTGTCATTCTCAACCCTTGGCCTCTACCAAGATCTAATGTCATTTTGGACAATGCCAAATTTTACATGTACCAAGAATTTCAAGAACTTATTCGGAGTACTGATCCTCTCTTGTTTTTCCTGTTGTCATTTTCACCTGACTTGAATCCGATTGAAAACGAGTTTTCTCTGCTAAAATGTTGGATTCAACACCACGCAAAATATGGCATTCCGCGAGAATCCAGTTGCAGTCCTGACGTTGCGATGTACTTTTGTACTCGGCAATCCGAGGAAGTTGGGGAAAACGTTTTATCGGAGTCAGCTGCAGCGCCTAGGTGAGTGCTGGTTTCTTTACTATTGGTTATTGGCCCAGGCACCAAGCTGATTGTAGTTCTTGGGTGTTTTGCTGGTGCTGCACTAAGGTAATAGTTCACTTTAGTATTCAGCCGGGCGTCTTAGTTATCTATCGTGGTGATTTACCACACGCAGATGTGCCATACCAGGACAACAATGTCCGAATTCAAGCAAGTGCTAGCGTCGATGGCGTTGTTGAGCGTGTGGTGTGGAAGATTTTTCGGAGAGAGCACTGCTTCAAGCGCAGTTCGACTTCGTCATCCCATCCGGTTGACGCGGATGACAAAAAGGGCGACGTCTCCTGGCTAACGTTGCTGCTCTCCGGGAGCCAAAGTCCTCGCTTAACCCTTTCGCGAGCCACCTCGCTAAAGTATACTATACAAAGTTAGTGTAATCGCTTGTGAAATGAAGCATTTTGCTTCTTTTAAAGGCTGTGATGGGCCACTCCGGGTAAGTACGTCTTGGATTGCGTGATTCCCGTAGTGTCGTCTTGACGATGATCCGTCTTTAAAGGAAGCATTTTGCTTCGTTTGACGAAATTACGGTACTACTTGCAGTTGTTTGTGATTGGCCAGATAATCCAGTCCATTCTGATTGGTTGGTGTGGACCAATCACCGCGAAGATGGAATGAAAAAGTCTATTGTGAATTTCTCATCTCCATGTGGTATCATTGGTAAAGCCGTGCAACTAAATATCAGTTTCGCATATTCTGACCAGAGAATGTGATTTGATTTTACTACAAGCAGTGTCCCAATCATTTGACTGGCTTGAAACGCAATTGTATACACTGCTATTCTTAATACTTATACATATTTGAAAATCAGGTATGCTTGTTACTTTTGATCACCAACAGTAAGGCCAGCATATCATTTCTATTCTGCTTAACTCATACACTAACATTCTTTTCCAGATCCGCTACCAGATGCAAGTGGAGGAAATGATGCGGGCGAAGGGCAACTCTGTGGTGGACATGTTCGTGATGGTAAGAGTGGTTATCGTGCCGTTCGGGATAGCATGCATATACTTACTGTCGCGTCGGATGTGTGCGTGTACAGGTGCAGGAGGTGGCGATGACGGTGTCGTTGACGTCGGAGGTCATGCCGGAGGCGGCGGTCGTGCTGCTGGCAGTGGCAGTGGCGCTATACAATGCCAAGTCCAGTCTGGCAATGGTGGAATTGATACTGGTAGATCTGTGGCTAGTAGCGGCGGCGGACGTGGTCGTGGTGACCGTGGTTGCCGTGGACGAGATGCTCGTAGTCGTGGTGGTCGAGGCCGTGGTCGTAGCGTTGCATCGCGAAGTGGAGACGAATGTGAAGGTGAACAGAACGATACTGGAGATTCACGTGACGAACCTGGAGCTGTTGGAGAGCACCCTACTTCCGCTGGATTAGATACTCCACCACGCACCATGCCGCCTCCCATGATCGAACAACTCTTTCTCAAAAAGTACGTTGCCTTTGCACCGTCCAAAGAGCGGTGGATGAGCGAGAAAACGTTTGGATGTGCGGGCACGGCGTACATTATTGGGCGCGTTTGTCGGCGCGTCAAGAAACCCCAGAACGCACGCATTTTACAAGTGCTGTGGATCGACAGTCAGTTTCAAATGCCGTGGCAAATCTTAGTGTGGCGGTTGTTCAACGGGGCATTGCAAACTACGACGCTCTCGAGCGCTCACCCACTAAACCGGCGTGGAGCGATTTGACGAACAATGTGACGGACAGTGAGCTGGCGATGGATGCACCGCTGGATGAGCTAGAAGTGACAACGTCCAATGAGCACTACCAAGTGTACGACCCCGCCGTATTCCTACCTGCAAGCTTGGAAGAGGTGGAAACAGTGAAAATTTTGCGATTCAAGCCTGATGTTGAAATGGCTGCCCCCGATGACCTGTACGAGCGCAACGACAAAAGTACGAAGACACAACTGTTACCGGAGTATCGCCACCTATTTGTACACTCAGCCTCGTCCAGTTTCTTGCGTACGTGCCTCTCTACTTCTGGAAGCAAGTCGTTCTGGAGACAAATCTCTATGCTACCATCGGTGTTTGAGTTTTCGTGCGGACCCTGGAACGTCTATGGAAAGTGATCCTGCTGCCAGAAGTCGTCCGTTGCTAAATCTACTGAAGTGCACTGGTGGTCGATACATTGAGCCAGGTCGTGACCTCGCTTTGGACGAAGCAAGTGTAGCGTGTCGATCACGTCAAGGACGACACCTCATTGTTTTCAATCCACACAAACCAGGCGGCAAGTACCACTTTCGAATGTATGTGGTGTGTTGTGCAACAACACGGATTGCTCTGAATTACCGTCTCCATTGCAACAATAGTGACATTGCCGACCGTCTACAAGACTTGGCCAGTCCAGAAGAGGTTCAAAATCTTCGGGAAGAGATAAAGAAAGTCAGCCAAATTCGAAAGCATGTTTTGGAGGTAGTGAGACCCTATTTCCACTCTCGTCGGATCATCAACATGGACAACTACTACACAAGCGTTCAGCTACTCTTGGATCTGCGACTAAAAGGGTTGTATGGGAGGGGGACTGTTCGAAATGGAAGTAAGCCTTATCCGAAGCACACTGTTCTAGATAAGGACAACACAACTCGAGGAGAATTTCAGCAGTCAGTCTCTGTGGAGCATAATATCCTTGCTGCTTCTTGGTGCGATGGCAGCATTGTAACTATGGTGACTAATGCCGATGGATCTACCCCTACAACTTTGACGCGTCGGATTCGTGATGAGAGTGTTGAGTTTCCTGCCCCAACATGTATCCTACAATACAACCGGCACATGCAGGGCGTTGATCGCCTCGACCAGTTGCGTGCTAGATTTTCACTTGCAGACGGACACTCATACAAGCGGTGGCACAAAAAATTGGCTCTTGCTCTCGTGGATATAGCTAGGGTGAACGCATTTTTGACTCGGAAAATGGCAATGGATACATCTAAAGACCGGGACCCTCACAGAACTTTTATGGTTGAATTGATTTCAGAGTTGATTTCGGGAAGGTGGAAAAATGCACCTAGTGACGGTCGGATGGTATTCACAAGCCGTGATTCAACAACAATGCCAGCAGAACCCGGTACCAATCCGTCGAAGAGGCAATATGCTATGACAAGTGTTGAGATCCCGCCAAACCGATGTGAGTCAATGTCCTCAAAGCAAGTGTTTCAAGAAAGTGGCAGAAGGAAGCGGCAATGCATTGTCTGTCGGTATGAAGGAAGGTACCCTACGGAGGTGACAGATTACTGTCATACTCACTCCGTGTGTCTATGCCGAGTTGTGCACGAGTATGTCGAGAGGCCGTTTACGTGTCCGCAGAGTACCTGGACGTGCTGGGATAAATTCCACCGATTCTACCTTCCGAACGGGCTCTTTAGCGAGAAAGGAAACGTGCGCAGGTCATCCGATCTAGCTAAGTTGAAGATGCTGTACGTGAGCAGTGCTGGTGACAGTGCAGGCGCCGATCATCAACCGAATTTCGTTGCTAGACAAATTTTTGAATGAATACTTCAGTTGGCCAGCGAGTAAATCTGTTTGGAATTTTATAGTGCATCTATCTTGATTTCACCATGTCGTATGTAGGACAACCGCACTTTGTAAAAAAATATTTGCTGCCAAGTTGGAAACGAGAATATCACTTAAATTCACTATGCTCACTGTACTTTTATGTATGTCAAAGTCTTTGCAAAAAGACTTGATGACAAGTTGGAAACGAGAATATCACTTCAATTCACTGTGCTCACTGTATTTTTACGTATGTCAAACCTCTTTGCACAAAAATCTTTATGACAATTTGGAAACGAGAATACCACGAACGCGGCCGTCGTGGCCTTCAAGGTCACAGGCATGGCCGTCACCTCGCACCCCATCCACAGAACGTCGGACAGCATCTCTCCAAGCCCAAGAGCACCACGGCCAGCTCAACATCGACCGTCAAGGCCTTAAGGGTCAGAAGGAACGGCCTTCACCACGCAATCCACCTCCAGAAACGCCGCCACGCCCGATAAATCCTTGGACAGCAGCTCTGCAATCCCATGCCACTACGGACTGCACAAACACGGGGTCAGCTGGGCCACCAACACAGCCGTTGCCAAGCATTCCCACACCAGGACCGTCATCACGCACCTTGGCCCGAACCAGCGACTTGTCCACGTCTGCCACCACCAGCATCTTCATTATGTCGGCGTCGAACTTGCACGTTTGCGTCGATACATATAGATGGGAATATGGTAGGATTTCCAACTTGCACGACCGTACATAGTTTCTTCAAGCTGCCATCTTGCGCAGAACGGGTCCCGGCAATTATCTCTGTGGCGGGAGCAATACAGCGACGTAGATATTATCACTCGAGCCTTCGGCATTCCACACAGCTCTTCGCGAACAGCGAGCTTCGCAGGTTCCTCGAATAGAAAATCATTCAGATAAACTATAGATGCCGCTTAAAATGGAGGACAACATGACAGAGGAGTATCCAGTATATCCCCGATAAGCACTCGAACCTTGCGCAGATTTAGCAGCCGCGCAGCACTGGATCGCACGCACTGTAACCCTGCATACACAACTTCAGCTCGTTTCTCGATGCCAAGACACTGCCCAGCATTGGTCTGGAGTGTGAACCGCGCTACAATATTTCCCAGCCCCGCTTCCACGTCGAGAAAGACGTCGTCCTCCGATATGTCCCCAATCATCTGAATGACGCTTGACACCGCAGTTGGAAGCAGCTCACCAGCGTTCTCGTCCGGCTTTCCGGCCCCTTGGCGGATGTCAGCGGCTGAAACGCTGCGGTAGATTTTTTATATTGCCTCTTCGGCTTAAATGGGCTGCAGCAGACGTATTTTTGGCACTCGCGGTGCTGCATTAGGCGGTCTCTGGAGAAGGCAAGGCGGAAAACGCTTCAGATCCCTGCCGTAAGTGCGCTTTAGCGCCCGCAGTCGCTGCTCACACTCCTTGGCTCCTGTCTGCGAGGTTCTTCCAGATAATGCGTTTGCCGGTGGATTCATACTCGAGCGCTAGCGCTACGAGCTGTTTGTCTTCAGAGTCCAAGAAGCTAGTGCGCATCACCAACCAAACGAGAGACTGGAGGCGGGTATCTATTTGAGATTGAATATAAAATACGAAATGGCATTCAATCGAGCCCTGTCTCTGTATAATAAGATCGTCTGCACGCTCCGTTTTCACCCAGCAACCAGGTTGCGTTTCACTTCGCCCACACCTCCTATTCCAAACAAGACGTTAAATCGGGTGGAAAAAGTGCATCCATCCACAAAATTTGCATAATGTTTTCTCTAGTCGTGTACGAATTCTCGGATAGAGCCACCTACCCCTCGTTTTGGAGAAATCTGACTGGCTCACAGATTTGAGCTAAAACATTTGGTCCTTAATTTGCCAAACGAAGCAAAATGCTTCGTTTGAGACGGAATTTTTCTACCTTCTATTGTGAAACAGATGAAAGGCAGCAAAATGCTACGTTTTACCGCGAAAGGGTTAATGGGATCTTCCCCTCCTTTGCCAATTTGCCAAAAACTAGTCGATGCTGCTTTCGTAGGTAGCCCATTCCACTTGCTTTTTCGTAGCATATTTAGCTCGTGGGTCTAGTACTACACAAGTCAACGATTCTCTCATGACCTTTGGGAACCGTGCCTGCAACTGAAGAAGCGTCCGTTTTAGGCATGTCTTGCCTGGATCTAAGAATTGGTCCCACGTCCTTTGCACCCTTCGATGCGTCGTTTCATTTATTCTTCAAAACAAAGGGGGAAAGGGGGGGGGGGGGGGGGCTTCAGTAGCCATCATCTGAAAAGTGAAAAACTTCAAGTTCTTTTCATTTTCACTCTGGGTCTCAACTAGAGAGATATTGAGTGTGGTACCTTACATCTCTGTTTGGAACGCCCCAGAATTGGCATTTTTCAGTATATATTAGGAAATTAATTCTGGATCTCACCCAAAGGCATTATTTTTGATATTCTTAGATTTCAGAAATAATACCAACACGCATTGCCTCTATTATCCCGCAATTTCCGACTAATTTGTGCGGAGGTCCAATGACAACAAATCCCGGAATTATATTTCTAAGCACTATTGTACATGATTCGAAAGCTTGAGGCGATCGGTGATGCCCTCTACTTCATATCACTTGATAGTGAGCCTCAATCACTCGCCGAAAAGGCCACGTAAATCAATTTAGATGCTATTTGGGCACAAATTTCACTCTATTCGCATGAAGTCGACGATGTGTCACTGTTATAAGGTTAATCATTTGACGATATTGGTGACTAACCTTAATAGGGCTCCCGTGAGCCGATGTGGGCTGTGGGTACAGGCAATACATACGTGTTAATTTATAAATAAAAGCGGGCGACAAAATGGGTTTTAAAATTATGGTATTTGTTTTCAAAGCAGACTCACTACTGCTGATTGGTTAAAATAAGGCATATCAAGCAGGCTGTGCAACAGTACGGATGCAGGCACTCTCAACCGACTTCCCACCGGTGCCGCCTACTGCAGGCGTACCATGGAGCTCGGGCTTGGGCGTAGGCGGCGCGCTCTTCACCACCTTCGCGCTGGGCTTTACCGAAGGCTGTTTGGAAATTGAGCGACGGCCCATCCCGCTGCGTTTCGCGCTGCGATTCGCCGCTGCTAACATGCTGCCCAGTGTCGTGTTTAGATCCGTCCCGGCACGTCACGTCGCCGCAGCATCAGGCGTCCCGTTCTCTGCTCTTATAAGCGATGCTGATCTCGCGAGCTCGCGCTCTGTAGCTGTGGGGAGGCAATTGGTGCTCGTCAAGTCGGTGCGGGCGCTGCGTCTTGCGGCTGGAAGCTATGGACTTGCGTGGAGTCTGTGGCGTTGGCACGAAACTGCTGCTGTTAGTGACGATAATGACAAACAAAAGGTGGTTAAGTATGGGGAAAGCGTGGTGCGTCTGGCACCTGTGGATTCCCCGCTATCTCAAGTTTCGAGACGGAAACACGGAGACCATCTAATGGCTGTGCCAGCGATGACTATAGAGAGTTGGAAGAAACACGGTGTGAATAAAGCCTTGGAGGGTGTGAGCTGGGAGAAAGTGGGGATTGAAGTGCAGGCAGAGGAGGAAGGAGAACAGGTAGGAAGAATCAAGGTGATTGAGGTGGAGCTCAGCGATATAGAGACGACATTAGAGTACGCTGGGGAATTGAAGAAAGCATTGAAAGGGGACGGCACTTCGGTGTGCTCAGTGGCAGTTTTGCCGCCATGTGGACCGGCGATCCCACCGTCAGTAGCGGATGCATTCGAAGTGTGCTTCAATCCGTTGTCGGCGGTGTTAAAGTTCATTGCTGCAGTGTGTCATGAGCGTGGGACTACGCACGTGATCCTGATCGGGGTTCAAGAGGAAGAGGAAGTAGCTGTTCAAGCTGACGGTGGAGATGTGAACGCAAGAAGCCCGTGGATGTATCTATCGACGTCCCAGTTAGCGACAGGGCTGCTGTACAGGCACGGTATTACGTCAAGTGTGATGACAAAACAGGACACAATCCGTGTTGATGAACACGAAGAGGACTCAACGACTTACCACTTAAACGACAGCAATGCTGGAGTCGTCTTTATCTCGGGAAGCCTCAGTGCTGGGCACTCGGCTGCAAGGAAGATGAGTGAACAGGGTACGTATTATCTCGTTTTATCGGATTATATACCGTGCAACGTTGACCTCGCTCTTGCTGCATGACAGGTCTCATTGCGCCACAGAACGTATGCTACATTGTTGAAGAGAGTCTGCATGGTCAAAGCGTGCCAAGCGAAGCTGTGCAAGTTGAATCCGAGCTGCTAAGAACGAGTGAAACAGAGCAGGAACAGGCAGACGCTGATGAGCAAAAGTCCGTGGCAACATACATGTCCGTCACTGATGTGACGGACCAGACACTGCAGGGCATTCGCAACCTGGTGCGACAAGGCAAGAAGCCCGACGCCATCCAGGCAACAGTTTATCAAGCTTTCGGAACCCAACGCGTGGTGTCGCCGACGCGGCTCGACCAATTTTCCGACTTGCACGTTTAGAAATTAGAAATTAAGAATTTTGGAACGAGTTTTGGTCAGCCCAACCTGAATTTAGTCATTTTCGTCTAGGTCATGTTCGGTCGGTACTTCTTGGCTTCCACTGTACTATGAGCGCTGAAGCCTGTGCCTCCAGCTTGTAGATGCACAATGTCCTTCTTACGTAGCTTCAGTCCCGTGACAGGACACGTCATGGTAGGCAGCACCATGTCCTTCAAGCAGCTCTCCAGAATCACCTGGCCAGACGGTCTCAGTAGCACTGCGCGATGGTGCGAGATCTCCTTCTTGGTCACGGCACACAGCACCTTCGGCTTACCGTCTGCTGCACTCGTGTCCCACTCGAACTTGACTGGCATTAAATGTTTGAGCTTCATCTCTTCCAGACTCATGGGGTCTCTCGTCTTGGTGTCGGGCTTGTCCACCTTCGTCTCCTGTGTGGGCGTGCAGTCCGGGATCCAGAAGCTGGTCTTCTTCATGGCCTCGCGCTTATCGTCGTCTGTGGCTTTGTCCACCTTCTCCTTAAGCTTCTGCGTGGCCAAAGCCCGCGCCTGGTCCAGGTCTTGCGCTGGTTTGCCAGTCATGGCACGGTCGGCAGCATCTAGCGCCTTCTGCAACGACTCGCGCTCCTTTTGCAACGCCTCGTCCTGCTGCTTATGGTTCTGCATCTCCACGAAGCGTTCGTATGCCGCGATGTTGTCTTGGATAGAGCGCTTCTGCGCCAGTAAATTGGCGTAGATACATTCCTTGCAATAGACAAAACCTCCGGGAGATACGAGGGGGCTGCGGCTGTGTGTAGTGGCCAGGCACAGACAACACACGCCGAACGGTAGCTGCGAGTCGCGCCCGAAGCGCCGTTTCAGCGTACCGTGACCTGCCGCCTGCCGCTCGCGATACGTGAAGTGCGTCGTCGCCGTCGCATTCTTGCTATGCCGGCTCATGCTGGTCAAGGCACAGGATGGAGATAAAATATTCTGGAGTTGTTTCTATCAATAATTTCTCCACATTTCTAATAAATAGTTATTATACAATCATTTTTAAAAATATGCTCTCACTATTCTACATAATTTCTTAAGAGCAATTAGGAAAAAACGAGATAGCATTTTCATTTATTGTGTAATTTACAACAATAACATAACTATCATTCTAAAATAAAAAATATCTTACACATTTTATTTGCTCATTAACCAGAAAATACATCTCTTCATTGATGAATTGCAAATAAAGCAAAGCAAAATTACATTATTGAAAATAGCAATAATTGTCCACTTACGTTTCTTACCATCATTTTGTTTCTAACCCAGATTTGTCCATGAGTGTCAAGCAGCATAGCAATGCCGAGCAGCTCCGCAACCTACTAGCATTCTGGGTGCTCGGGTTCATCAACAACATCGGCTATGTCATCATGATCGCGGGTGCCCAGGAGATCGCGGCTGGAGGCGTGGGTCTTGTCTACTTTTTCGACATCTTTCCCGCTCTCTTCGTCAAGCTCTCAGGCCCGTACTGGTTCCAGCTCGTTTCGTATCGCCAGCGCACCATCATGGGCGCTATCTGGATGTTACTCAGCTTTTTGGTAGTCGCCAAAGGGAAACATTCACTCTGGCTGCAGTTAATAGGCGTAGCCTTTTCAGGTCTACAGTCTGGGATGATGGAGGCGACCTTCCTGGCCATGTCCTCGTTCTACGCGAGTCCCGTGCGTTGTTTAACGTGCTGGTCGAGCGGTACGGGACTCGCAGGGGTGGGTGGCTATGCGTGGGTCGCAGTCTTGCACCTCTGGGGAGGCTTAAGCTTCCAGACCACACTGGAACTCGCCAGCATCTTCCCGGTGCTCTACGTTGTGGTATTTCTCTTCGTCCTCGACAGGTCCAAACTTCCTCCAGCCAGGACATGCAACTACATGCCAATCCCTGATAGTTCACAAGATGCAGGGGTGGCAGTAGCCGTAATGGCAGTGGATAACACTAAAGATCAGCTGAAGAAAAAAGAGCTGGAAAAAGGTGAAGAACATTTGGTATATGACGCATCCACGATGGGATTCAAGGACAAAATGAAGTTCATTATGACGCTAGGACCGTATATTGTTCCGCTGACGACGGTCTATTTGGCGGAATATACCATGCAGACTGGAGTATGGTCAGCGATTGGGTTCCCCGTGGACAGTAAAGAGGCAAGAGCGAGCTTCTACTCATCTGCTGGACTAGCGTATCAAGCTGGCGTGTTCATTTCGAGATCGTCGGGTGTTTTGTTTCAAGCTACGAGGCCGATTTTGTATCTTATGCCGGCGTTGCAGGTGCTGCTGCTCGGATTCTTTACGTTCGTGGCGGCTACGCACTTTTGGTATAACTGGGGGTTGCTGTCTCTGTGTTTTGTTGCTGGTTTGCTTGGTGGTGGTGTATACGTGAATGCTTTTACGTTGTTGTCAAAGGAGATCCCTACAAGTCACGTGGAATTGGCTCTGTCAGCTGTGTCTGTGGGCGATACAGTCGGTGTTATGCTTGCAGATTGCGCGGGGTTGTTTCTTCAGGGTTGTCTGTACTCCATTAATCATCTCCCAGGCGCTACCATAAACGTTTCCTGCTAAACTTCTGATTGTTTTCGTTATTTTTCTAGATTAAGAAATCATGACCCAAACTTCCTAAAATGGTCAACTATTTGGTCGGAGGATCACGTAGTCGGGAAGTTGCATCCGTATAACTCTGCGCAATAGTGAATAATAAGTCGTGTCAAGTCCAATAATATCAGCACAGTGCTTACCTTTTACGTCCACATCATTTAATTGAGGGTTCTTCTTGAGCACTTCAAAAGCATCTGACGTAGTGCAATGAATTTCATCAGATATAGCAGGTGAAGCTGCTTCGACAGAGGTACAAGCGGCCAGCATGGCCTCCACCAGCTTCATCGTATGCCATCTTTGCATACCTTCAGACTTATTAGCAGTCGATGATAGCAACGTGATTAACTGACAAACTCCCAAATAAACACTTGCTTGACGAGGAAGTTGCTGCAGAACTTCGACTAACGCGTTCTGAAGTCCACAAACTAACAATTGCCGTCGAACGGTTGGCTTTTTACACATGACGAACAGAGCTCGTAATGCTCGAGTCTGCAACATCTCGTTGCCTGGAAATCGACGTAACATGCCGACCATCTCACACTTGATAGCACGTTGTGCTGCCACGTTATCTCTACCTTGTTGCTGGAGCTCGAACTTCCCACGAAGCGAGGCAGTGGCAGCAGTAAACCGCTCTGTTTCATCATTAATCCGAGCCACTTCTAGATCTGCCGTCCCGTTTTGAGTATGCAATCGAGCCACTTCTCCACGGATCCACTGGATCTTGACCTCCTCCGCATCAATAGATGTGATCAACTCACGGTCTGTCACTTCAGCGCGACGAATCTGTTCCTCCACTTCTACTCGAAAGGCGCGTGTTGCAGCGACGTCCGCTTGGATTTCATGTGATCGACTGAGAAGGTTTTGCTCGTCGCACTTCAATGAAGCAATGACCTCGTTAAGAGCACTAGTCTGCTCGCGCTGCCGCTCATTCTGCTGCTGAGTGTGTAATATATTGTCTTGCAACGGTACCATCACGGTAGGGTGTATTACAGCAGTCCAAGTCATGAGATCCATGGGCCTCACACCCTTTTTGTCCGGAATTGACACATCTGCACCTGCGGACAACAAGGCGTAGACAAACCGCTGGCTTGCAACAGTAGTTCAGTCATCATATAAAAAATGAAGAAGGCGATATTGAGAAAATTACGAATACTTACGATATTGTTATTTTCGAGCGCTAGATGAAGTAGCGTCTTGCCGTCCTACTCCAATGCCAGTACTTTTAGTAAACAGGGGGCAATACAGGGTAGTGAACGGCGAAGATGAGCTCACCTTTTGTACCGATGTATTTACTTTCAGGAGTTCTCGTGGTGCAGTTTCCAGCAAAAATAAGAGTACCTCCTGCTCAAGGGCACGATACATTGGATTAGAGTATCCTGTTATAGCGGTAGCTAAGTGATTTGTCGACCTCTCGAGAGGCAATAACCGCTTGATGAAGCGCTGAAGCAACTGTGCTGGCCTAAAGGTTCACCACGCGTTCGTAAGAAGTTGCATATACAGGATAATCAAGAAGGTAGTAAAGGCTTTTACCGTCAGGTTTTCATCTCTAAGCAGTTGCGTAGCCTTGGGCCACTGTTCACGGTAGCACAATGCTAAGAGTTCTCCACTTCGGTCAAGCTCCTTCATCGCCGTTTAATGAGGAGTGAGAAAACAGTGGAAAATAGATTTGAAAAGTTACAGTAGTAATGCTAAATCGGATAGGTCTCGTCTAGCCAATTTACGATCAACGACTCTCTTTCACGTTTGATGATCCTCACGAACGCTCGAGTGAAGAGAATTGGATTGTGCACATGCAGGAAGAGGAGGGCGTCAAAGTCGCTGTTAGGACAATTTAAACAGGTAATCTTCGTCGGGAGGCATTCAGGAGACCGCGTTAGAATCCAGCCAGCAACCTTAATATGCCCGCCTTCGATAGCTTTCAAAACTGATGATGTCGACCCGTCAGCTCCATTGATGTAGAGCCACTTAACCACCTCCAAATGACCGTGCGTAGCAGCCAAGTCGAAAGTATCTTGTGTGCACCCGAGTGTCGAGTGTAGCCATTGAACAACCTCCAAGTGTCCATTACAAGCCGCGCGATTTAAGGCTTCTAAAGTGCACGTTTCTGGTCGATTAGCGCCGAGCCATTGCACTACTTTTAGGTGCCCATTAGCCGCAGCTTCATCCATGGCACTTGTTGAACATTCCTCCTGGCGATTTTCTTGTAGCCATTCTAGAATGTCTAAGTGGCCATTTGCAGGGGCAAAATTCATGACATGGACCGTTTTAGGCCACCACGATCGTCGTGTTAGTGGTATTTGTAAGGTGGCAGACTCTGCTGATGAATCCAACTCGTGAAAAAGCTGCAGTAGCTCCAAATTTCCAGTTTTTGCGGCGTTTTTGACAAGGTACACTACACTTTGTCGAACACAAGTAGGATAATGATCGATCAGCCATTTTATAGCTGACACCGAGGACCCAAGAGGGATCACGATAGACGAACTATCCCCAGTTCGCCAATGCTCGTAAATGTACTCCATGACCGTGACGTGGCCATTTCCTGCAGCTGCCCATACAAGAGCCTGCTGTCCGCTCTGTCGTCGTAGATACACTTTCTGGCCATTTGGGTGCTCTACAAGCCACTGCACAACCTCCAGATGTCCTCCACTGCATGCCATCGCGATGGCATTGTACCAGTCCTTAAACAACCATTGCTTTTCATTCATCCAAGGGGGAGGATACAGTTCAACAATGCGCTGTATGAGATCCAGTCGCCCCTGACTGGCCAGCTTCCAGATAGCTATACCTGCTGCCTTTTCCATCTCACGTGTGTAGTATCCATGATCCAGCATCCATTCGATCACTCCTGGACGCCACGAAGTGCCAGCTTCCAGGAAAATGTTCCTGTGTGGTGGTAATAGCACTAGTGCAAAGTCGACATCTCCCGTTCTTAGTGCACCTTGGGACAGACGCAACAGCTCAGTATCGTCATAGTTGTATGGTGCGTGTTCGTACAACCACAGTGAAACGTGGCGATGGCCGCCTTCCACAGCTTTTTTCAAAGCTTCTCCACTCCAGTCGACTTTATTTTTGTCTTGTTGATTCCACAGAAACTGTAGAAGCTCTAAATTCCCATTGCCAGCTGCTGTTTCAACCACATTGTTAGGCACTTGACACGCTGAAAAGTGGTCGTAGATCCACTGCATGAGCCTCATATCTCCACTGGAGACTATTTCCTCCAATGACTTTGAGAACATCCACTTGTAGTAATGAGTATCCGACCGGAGATAATTTGTTAGACTCCACCCACTCGATCTTTCCTCGATTAAGGTACAGCTGGATTCCCATATCCAATTCAGTAGCTCTAGAGAGTTGAAGTGGACAGCTTTGTGAAGAGCGAGACTCGAATCTGGGCCGAGAAAACTCGATATAATTGGCTCGATGTGCTGTGAAGCGCCGGAATCGGCGTGGTGGTGGAGCACAAACGATACGATCTTCAGCTTGAAGGCAGTCATTGTGATCTTCCTGTGTATCTCCCCGCAAAATCACGAATGGTCCAACTGAACTGATCATGATTGGCAATCATACCCAAAATGATTTTATAAATTTTTTTGGGGAAAAGTCAATATACGTCCGTATAATTGCAGAATGATCCTTGTTTTTAACGTTATATTCAGCTCTAATGAAAAGACAGCAAGCAACGGCTTTGGTGTCTTATCATCTGCTGTAGAGCAAAAGCTCTGCACTCTACATCAATACTCCTGTGAACTGCATGTTTGAGTACAATTTAGGGGTTGAATGTGAGAAGGTATTGATGTTGCGATTGCATTGTGAGTTACTAGTATTGAGTTTGAGTGTTAAACTACGTATTCTTCCATTTTCTGTCCTTAAGTGAGATTCAATCGTTGTAACCAACTCATTTCTGCCGCAATAAATGCCTAGACCGTACCACTTGAAAGAGAGGGTTTATGTTTATTTTAATGTCCTGTCTAGGTGACTTTATCGCAGAAATAGAAATAAAATGAGTGAAAATAACGCATCATGTCGTTTGCGTCGAAAATCAGCAAGCACAAAAACGTCTAATGTCCATCAGGTCACGACAACTTGAAAGGGCGTTGAGCTACAATCAATACTTTCGTTAGATTTTAATTTTAAGGTGAGCATACCGGTATGCTTATGATCATGCTGGCATTTGAATGGAGAATAGACATTACATAAGTTGACCTAGCGGGCGATTCGTGTGTAACTTAGATTGTCTTTGCGCAAGCTGAATATATTCAAGCTTACTAACGTGAAGCGGTGCTCGGTGCAAAACTATTCACACTGTGGTTACTTACAAGGTCACACGGGGCAGGGTTCAGTTGCGGAGCCGACGTGCTTCATGTTTTCTCCAGAAGAAGAGCGTTTTCTTTAACCATGCCTTGAAATTCGTCCATGTTTTCGTGTACGTGGAGTCATTCCCGTTCGCTGGCCCTCCACGTCCCAATCGTTCCTCATTCAGTAAGTCCGGGGTATCGTTCGCCTCCTCGTTTGCAGTCTTGATTGCATCACTTGCAACAATCAGGATGACCATCCCGAGCATAATACAGAGGACGTTAGTTAAACGCATGCTGAATAATTTCTTCGGCTGTTGCTGGTTGACCTTTGCAATAGAAATCGCGAACTGACATTCCCTCCACAGCTGCATATGCAGTGGAGTCTATAATAAATGTGTGTGTGTGTGTGGGGGGGGGGGGGGGGGGGTTGAAGGTACGTGAACACGTTTGGTCACGCTGGCTAATGAAATGCTTACGAGATGTCAACTGAGTTGAAGCAAGAGTGGCTTGAAATTGAAATTTTAACATTCGAATTTTGCAAATTCCAAATCTTGACGCTTCAACCTACTAACCTCTTTGTGGATGCGTACAAGTTCACTCAATAGCGCTTGGATATCTAAGCGTACCATTGACAATAGAAGGAGAAATGCTATCAATATCGTCGTGCTGCATATTTTTTTTGAGAGTTTCAAGACATGTATTTTATCCCAAAGTAGCTTAACGAGCAAAAGCAAAATGTACGATTGCCAAGAAGACTGCTATCGTCATTTCGTCCACTTCTGTGTTCAGTAAAATAATATTGTGATCCCTGAGTTCAATGTTAGCATTGAATTCAGGGATCACAATATGATGGCGGTTTAAAGATCCATTCAATCTACGTTTTGGTATCAGTGTGCATGAGTGGTGATGCATCTATCTATTCGACGTATCGATGCATGTAGATACACCACCACTAAAGAGTTCCAAAGATATGTGTTTACGTGGCTATTTCAAAGTAACCTCTCACGAGTTTGATCTCTTCCATTTGCTACATGATCAGGGCAGTTGGATCAGCTCCCACCTGAAATCCTATCGCGGGATGTACGAGTAGCTCCGATTCTTGACGTACTACTTTAATCAGTTCAGTGAGATCAATTAACACTGGGTGGTTGAATCCTTTGGGGGGCGTTTGTTGCAAGTCCTACAAGTCGATAGGCATCGATCGACCCGTAAAAACAGTATTTCGTCCGGAAACTGCTCGTTGATACGTAACATCGGTACTGGCAAAATTCTAGCTCCCGTACTGCCCTATCGCCAGAAGTATGCCTATCACAATTACTTCTTCACCTGAGATCCCGCGTTCATGAACTGGATCATGTCCACCTTCTTCGTCTTGGGTCTTTTCATCGGTTTTCCATCTCCAGCAAGAACTGCGGACCTGCAAGCATAGTTTCATCAGTATCAACTACAGAGAAGCATTTAAACAAAATTCAAAACGTACATAATCTTCTGGGCTCTGCTGGAAGGATGCTTAACAGTCGCACTTGACCGAACAACCGCGTTCATGGACGCAGGAGGTTCCCGGAGTTGATCCATGAGACTCATGTTACCTCGTCGCCTTTCATTCGAAGCACCAGTACCTACAAAACGATCTGACTGTGCTCTGCCGCGCTGAACAACAGCACCAGACGCCGACAACACAGTGGGCACTCCCAAAACTCCACCAGCTGCATCGTTGCGCTTCCGCTTCTTGGTGATGATCGGATTCCATCCAGAACTGCTCGCCTTTGACGGAGCTGAAGTATACACACCCGCCGACAAGTTCTTCGGCTTTGTTAAGCCAGCAAACAGCGCCTTCCGTAAGCTACCCGTTGAATTGTTAAGCTGCTGTCGGCCTCGTCCTGCCTGCATGAAGTTCGAAGCGATGTGGTGCAGGCAGTACTGTGACTACAACAAGAGAATAATACATAGCATTAGAAGGAACATCACTCTATCCTGCAAACAGTAGATCGATCTCACCTTTGCAGTGTTGACTGCCAGACGGCAGCGCGCTTCTCCTGAGGTCGTGCCCTTGCAAATACCGAAATCTATGGCCTTCCCCAGCTTCACGATTTCTGTTGGTTGAGTTACTTTGAATGCAAATTTGTTTTTCTCCGATGCTGGCAACAGTGTTGCATTCAGAACTGCAACGATGGATCCCGTTAACTCTTTCCAATGGCTGTCATAAGCGTCGCCGAAGAGGAAGATGCCCAACTCGGTTCCGTCCAGGTCGGACAACCCCCAGACCATGAACGTTGACCCATTGGCCGCAGGTTTTGATAGTGTTTTACGTGTCAACACACCGATTGTCACCCAGTCGACCTACACACAAATATTAGATCAGGTTACAACGTTTCAATATAAATTATGGCAGACCTCTCCATTGGTAAATGTGTCCTTGGGGACGCGATCCATCTGCTGTAGCTTGATGAACTTGCGTCCTTCCATCTCCTGATGAAGTACCTCCGCTGATATAGTCCGTTCAGTGATGCGGAGTCTTGAAAATACTTCCACTTCTCCTGTATTAATTCTGGCAGACTTTTCACGTTCGGTGGCGGTAGATATAGTCTTGGGCTTAGCATGCTTCGCTTGAGAGTTGGTCGGTGGCCTATTCAACAACGGCCGCTTGGACTTGACCGCGTTGCGATGACTCTGGGCCGAGTTGGATCGACCTGAAGAGCTGCTACTGGACTCTCCATTCTTCTGAGATAATGCCAACCAGTTCCAGCTCTGCGAGGCCGCAGCGAGCGACTTTTCCTCTGCTCGTTTGTCGCTCATGGCGCGAAATTCAGTTTGTGACACTAATGAAAATCGTGTGGATTACATAATGTGGTTATTTTGGACAACAGTGTAGCCATTCAACTGTCTAAGCGAAAGGCACGCCATCTACATGTATTACATTTTTCTATGGGGTTGCAATCGTGTTTGCATCGTCACTTTTTAAGTACAGTCTTCTCTAAGAACTAGTGACCGGTGCTGAGGAGTTCGCAGTGTCCGCTTCAGCTTCACGAAGAACCTGTCTAGCAACCGCTTCCCAGCTTTGAGCATGTGAAAACTTGTAATGCAGGAGGTAGCTAAATCCACGCAGTAGCAACGAACAGCGGAATGCCATCACATACTCGTCTGGAATGTACTCAATTCGATCGATCCTAATAAGACACGTACACATTGTCAGTTATATACAGCAAAATACTGTACATAATACGGTACGTACGTGTGCAAGTGCTCGAGGAAAAGCTGAGCATTCATTCCTTCCGTCACAGTTCGGTCGTCGTTGTCAATCATCAAGCGAGCCTGTTTCTCCAGGAAATACGGGTCCATATTGGTCGTTCGGACGCGCATATCCTTCGTCAGCACCTCAATGATCTCGTCCCGGGAACCTCCTGCAAGTGCTACGATCAGTTTGGCCAGGTGAATCCTGTGCTCTTTCGAGATATGTTTCACCTGGCCGTAGTCGATGAGGCCGAGGCGTCCGTCCTCGAGCAACAGGATGTTCCCTGGATGTGGATCGCCATTGAACGAGCCATCCACGAAGATCTCGTAGCCGTGGACGTCCATGATGAGCTTCAAGATCTCCGGGAGATTGAGCAACTGGTGTTGGTCATCCTCTCTCACTGTCCACTTCTTTGGGGCGACAAACCCCACTGTATAGTCGTAAGACGCTCGTCCAATACGTCGAGCCAGTCGCTTCGCTCCAAGTGTCAATCCATACAGTCGTAGCTGCAAGGAAGAAGGACCCACCTCGATATCCAGCCCCTTTGCTTCTCGTTCTTTATCTTTCCGTTCCTGATCTTGTTTTAAGAACTCCACAGTCACTCCTTTATCCGCTGCGATGGCTTCAAAGTGGTCCTGGATGCCATCGAGTAACTTTCTACCTTTTAAAAACTCCATCACGAGCACTTCTTTAGTACACATCTCCATTTTGGGCTCAGGAATGGCTACTTTTGCAGCATACGGACTCTTGGCGATATTCTTCCGCACTGTAGCCAAGTTCTTGGCTTCTTCGACGTAGTTAAACTCCGTCATAAACTGCTTCTCGACCTCAACGAGATACGGTAAGTGTGCTGGTTGGAAGTATCTACAGAAATCCTGAATAGTTTTAATGTCCCAGCGGAAGAACGTTTCGGCGTCTGGATGTTGCACCTTCACAGCCACTTCTTGGCCGTCGAGCAGCACGGCTCGATGTGCTTGGCCTATAGACGCGGCTCCTAGCGGCTTGGAATCAATAGATTGGAACACCTGGTCGATGGGTTTACCGTAGCTGTGCTCGATGATGGCACAGATCTCCTCCACGGGCTTGGACGGCGCGTCGTCCTGGAGCTTAGCAGCTCGTTCGAGATACTGTTTGGGAAGCACGTCGGGCCTCGTGGAGCCTGTTTGGGCCAGTTTTACGTAGAATCCTTTGAGCTCTAGCACAATATCGAACACCTCGGGTGCGTATTTCTCGTGTAGCTTCTCGTATTCGGCGTCCTGCTCCTCGTCTGATAGCTGAGCGTGTTCCATGTAAAGCTGAGCTGCACGATAGTGTAAGTAGATGGGGAAGGCTTTACGCCAGAAGTATAGAGAGCGATTGAATCCCTCGTCTGAGTGTGCAGCGTACGTCACGCCCCCAGCCCCCATAGCTGTCGAGCCCAGCAGCATCCGCGCACCATTGCGGAATACTAACTCCCACATTTTAAAGGTGACGTCAGGTATATGTGGGGTCAAGTTAGGAAAAGCAAACAGACATTTTTTGATTGGTTGAAATTGACCGTTTAAGAAGATGATGTGCACCACTCCATAAGTTTTGCAGCTCTAAAATCTGCAATGAGCTCGGCAGTCGGCGTGACTGTGCTGACCCGCGTCGCTCTGGAGGTGAAGCAGAGCGAGACGCGGCAGTTCACAGATGCGCACGGAGAGATGCTAGCGTCTCTACCTCCGGATGATATGCGATTGGTGCAGGTGGCTAGCGAATTGGTGGCGAGAAATCTGGTGGTGAAGGTGACGGCGACTCCGTCAATGCGCACATTCTACCGCGTTGAGTCACTAAATAAGTACAAACGGAGGGGAGATCAGGACGTCGATATGTCAGTGGACAGTGTGACACAGCCATTCGAAGACTCCATGGTGAGCGGCAGCGGTGCCAACTACTACAACTGCTTCAGTCATTACTGCACGTGCATGGCGTTCCATGAGACGGCAGTCTCGTCGCACCCAACAGCCATGGTACAGTCTTGCTGCGGGAGGGTGGATAATGAACTGAAACTGACCGTTATGTTGTGCAGTGCAAGCACATGGTGGCACGGTTGCTGGCGGATGCGACCGGCCAGTTCCAGACCATGCAGGTCGAGGACGTCCACTTCGCACAGATGCTCTGTCCTCCTCTCTCAGTTGATAAGGACGAGTAAATGATCTCATCGGGTCGGTGACGTACATTGGAAGACAGTACAAAGGAGTAGTAGATTGATGAATTTATGGTTCACTAGATGTGGATAGTATGGCGTAACGAAAAAAGGGAGTAACAAAGTTTCTGGTGGAGAATTGCAATTGCTTTTTCATTTCAAATGCTCAAGTTGTTCATTTATTGTATAGGGGTCTAATCTGCACCTTGAGATCTCACTCAATCTACGCAGTTACATATAGCTCTATGTGGTGTTGCTGGGGTGCCCAACAAGAGGAAGTTTCTGGATGACAAACGCACTGCTTCGTGCGCTTGCTTAGAAGTTGGACTGGCAATCAGCCTGAACAGGAGTCGCAGGTGTCGGGGTGGTCGGGGCGGGCGTCACCGGGGCCTCAGTCTCCGTAATGGGGGCCTCCGTAGCGGGAGCAACCGGAGCTTCCGTGGCCGGAGCATCCGTCACCGTCGTCGGCGCAGGCGTCGGGGCCTCCGTTTCGGCCTCACCCTGCACCACGTCCACGTTCTGAGTAGCATCCTGCACGGTTGTCGAACCGCTCGTGGTAGCACCGTCACACTGCTCGGTTTCACCCGTACCAAAGTCCTGCGTCCAGTAGTGCTGGTATGTGCCTTCCTTGTTGAACGCGTACCCAGGGGCGAACATCGTGTAGTCGCCCATGATGTTCTCCAGGTGCTCCGGAGAGTTGATCCACGCCACCATCACGGCGTCCACATCCACCTGTCCAGCAGCCACGTTCTCAGCCACGGCGCTCCAGTCGTAACCGGCCTGCGTGATACGCTCCGACATGGTCGAGCCGTCCGAGCCGTCGTGGGCCATGTAGTCCTTGGCAGCCATATCATCCGAGTGACGCTGAGCAGCGGAGTGCAGCTTCTTGTTGAGGCACAGAGGCGACAGGCCCTTGGTGGCACGCTGCTTGTTGACGGCGGCCAGCATGGCGGGGGCGTAGTCACCGTAGGCAGCGTAGGTTTTGACGTTGGTGGCGATGGTGGTGCCGCCAAGTTTGCGAAGGTAAGATGCATCAGTGTTGGAAGCAGCCGCCACGATAAGCAGCAGAGCAAGCGAGGACTGAGCGATGTTCATCATGAT